CATACTCTAAGCCCGAGTTGATTTTCAACACTTGCCACATTTGCTTTCCCTTACCCTGCCCCGCACATGAAGTATTTCTCTGAACAATTTGAGAACAGATTATGTCATGCCCCTTTGCCACCTTAGTATGTCAGTGTTTATTTCTCACCAGTGAAGTTATCCCTATAATTATTGTCCCTATAATGTCCTGAATAGTAATCTTTCCCATTATAGGATGCAATGGGAAAAAAAATCACAACATTAGTTGTCCTGTCTCTAGCCTTTTTTAACTTGAAACAGTCTTTCTTGATCCTGACATTTTTGAAGAATATAGACCAATTACTGTGTTTGCTATCGTGTCACAATAACTTCAGGTAATGCATCACCAGTAGTACACTACACAGTGGTGTGTACTCACTTACCACAGCTGGAGGCACGTGATGTCTGCACACGATTGGCGATCTTAATTTTCATCACGTTTACAGGATTGTCTGGTTTCTCTGCTGTGTACCTACTGGTTTTCCTTTTGTAATTGAAAGTTTTCAAGGAGATAGGTTATATGAAATTTTTTTCTTTATTACAAAAGTAATTTGGATTAGTAACCTTTCTATCCTTGATGAATGTATAGATAATTTTTAAAACCAAATAACTACAACTCGTCTTTCTAACCTAATAATACCTGGTAAACATCTTACTGTGCTGCTGCTCACTCGCCAGGGACCGTGATGGGACTAGTGAAGGAGACACTGGGCACTAACAGGCCAGCTGGGAACACAGCAGGCAAATTGTCAGTGAATTAATTACAATGGTGAAAAGTGCTTCGGAAGTATAGAGTAGGAGGAGAGTATAGTGATGAAATACTATCGGAAATCAAGTGTTAAAAAGTTGTTGGAAAGTTTCCTGTTTCTGACGGGAGCCAATGCTATTGGGAATAATTAAGGGAAAGATCTAATTTATAGGTATAAAATACAATTCCATTACAGTTATTCTAATAAACTGAGCCTTGCTTTTGAGTAATAGGAAAACACCCAGGAAACTTAACTAGAATTCTGACTTCATCTTTATTGGTTACTGATCTTACAAAACAAAGCAGCCGTTAAAACCCTTGCCATCCTAGACCTGATGAGCCCTGACTCAATCCTCTTAACCCTGACATCTAACTGTGGACTCTTGTTCTTTCCTAGAAAAAATTGCTAGTCATCAGGCTGGAAATTTAGCAACCATGTTTTTGTTGGAGGCTGAGTTGATTTGTAAATGTCTTTTTAAATTGTAATTATAGTTGGCACTCTCGATCTGTGAGTTATACATTGGTGGAGTCAACTGACCCTGGTTGAAAATATTAAAAATATAATAACACAGGGTCGGTACCTATAGCTCAAGCAGCTAAGGTGCCAGCCACATACACCAGAGCTGGTGGATTTGAATCCAGCCTGGGCCTGCCAAACAACATAATGGCTGCAACCAAAAAATAGCCAGGCATTGTGGCGGGCACCTGTAGTCCCAGCTACTTGGGAAGCTAAGCAAAAGAATCCCTTAAGCCCAAGAGTTGGAGGTTGCTGTGAGCTGTGATGGCACAGCACTCTACCCAGGCCGACAGCTTGAGGCTCTGTCTCAAAAAAAAAAAAAAAAAAAAAAAAAAAAAATATATATATATATAAAATATAAATAAAAGCAGTATAGCATAACAACTCTATACATAATGTTTGCATTGTATTAGGTATTATTAGTATAAGTAATCTAG